TATTTAACCAAAAAATAAACACTTTTAGAAATCACAAGACTTGATTGTTCAATTTACTCCCTGATACCAATTTTTATACACATTTCTGGGATTTGAAACTCTTTCACAGTAAACACAATCGTGCAAAGAAGAAAGTTTTAGGGAGATAGAGAGAGACCTGTGTGTTGAGATTCCGGCGATGGTGTAGAAAACGGGAGAGCAGCTGAAGTGAAATCGTTTGCGTCTTCAGTTGAGTTTGGTGTCGTGTACTCGTGTGATTAAAGATCTCTTGGGCCATAAATCAAGTGAACCAACCTGACGGTCTGACCCAAGTCCAAGTACAAAGAGATAGCCTTCAATCAATTGGCAAAGTGGCAATGCCTTAATAGAGCCCATGTAAGAGACCCAATGGGAGATTGGAAGGCAGTAGCCAGTACCAGGCACCCTTGTGGGAGTTGTGGCCTTGTGGGAAATTCGGATTTTGCGCATCCTTGGAAAAAAAAAAAGGATAAATATGAGATTCCATCACTGAAAAAAAAGCACTAGCATATAATATTTCGTGTCAAGGCTCGAATTTTACTGATATCCAATTTTTCAGAAACAACTATATTCGTTGAATATTCCCAAATATCAACGATTTGGTAGGAATATAGTGAATTGGGCCTCAAGACATTATTATAGGACGGTTGCGTGATTAGGACATTGTCATTTATGTATTAGTATGCAGGACATAAGTCTGCCATGTAACAATCTAACTTATATATACATATATTTCAACGTCAGTATATACCCCTCTAAGATCGTAGAATCCACCCCTCGGCAAACAACCTGTCGAACCTGGGGTGTTATCCCATCACTTTAAAAGACAATCGTTCTCAGCTTTGAAATATACAGTTCTAGATCTCTGACGTTCCCTGCTCCTCGTGAGACACTTACTTGGCGCAATCGACACCCTCTACCGGGCTAGGCGCGCCTTTTCAGTATACTCTCCCACCCTCGACAGGTGAACCGCCGTCGACTCTTATGCAATTTATAATGATCCGATTTATATAGTTACCGATATTGTCCTCACTTAGCCATTGCGATCGTCCGACAGTGTGAGGTTTTAGAGGGCATGAGCCGACTTCCTAGAAGGTCACCCATCCTAAGACTACTCCCACCCGAGCACGCTTAACTTCAGATTTTTTTTTGAACTCTGGAGCCAAACGTTCTCAAAAAACCTCGGTGATATTAATATATGGCGGATGTATACCTATATTTAACGTCATGACATGCCCTCTTAAGATCGTAGGATCCACCCATCAGCAAACCACCTGCCGAACCCGGGGTGTTACATGTCCGGACGGGTTTTAAAGTTTCTAGACGAAAATACCCTCATGTTTAATTAACTAAATACTTTGTAGTTTGTACGCATTGTTTTTTGAAGAAACTTATTCGTGGACCCTAGCCATCTTTTAAATATTTTATATTACGCTTTTGTAGTTAAATAAATTAACTAAATATCATTTAAATCATGTTATCACAATACATTTCTTTGATCACATCATGTGATCAGCTTTATGTTTCTTACAGGTAACGAAAAAAATTTGATCACATCATGTGAATGTGATCAAAGATAACTGAAGTGATCACATCATGTGATCAACTTTATGTTTCTTCCAGGTAATGAAAAAAACTTATCACACCATGTGATCAAGGATAAATTAAGTGCAATCAACTTTATGTTTCTTCCAGATAAGGAAAAAACTTATCACATCATGTGATAAAAGATAACTTAAGTGATCACATCATGTGATAAAAGATAACTTAAGTGATCACATCATGTGATCAACTTTACAGTCAATATGCCACATGACAAAATCCAAGAGATTTTGAGTAATATTGCACCTGTGAGACTGTGACTACATTACAAACTTGCAGTAGAATTCTCTAAGTTTCAAATATGTGAATAACT